GCTAAGAGCAGGTCGGACAAACACCTGTCAGGGCTGATCTGGATCAGGGCTACTCAACATGTGGCCCGTGAGCCACCTGCGGCCTGCTTGTTTGCAGCCCGTGGTGCGGTTTGGGTTTACGAAGGGGTCAACATGCAGCCCGTGGGCGGGATCCGTTGAGCATGGCCTCCACTGGGAACACGCTTCATAATGGCAAGTCAATATACTGGTCTTCTGTTGATATGCGGTCTAGTAGGTCAATTCCTGGACTGTTATTGCTCATTAAAAGTGCTGTCATATGGGTGGAAATCGTGTAAATACTGCATTTTATTAATACCAGCAGAACTGACTTAAATGGGGCCTGCATGTTGTGTAGTCTTGCCTTCATCTTTGTATTCATGCCCGTCAGTGTGAAAAGTTATTTGCATATATATTTGCATGTACATGCAACCACACTTAAGTTGCAGCCCTCGGCATGTGCTGTGAGTATCATTGTGGCCCCCAGGGCTTCCAAAATTGAGTAGCCCTGAGCTAGATGGTGCTCGGTCCTGCCGAGAGGGCAGGGGACTGGACTTGATGACCTCTCGAGGTCCCTTCCAGCCCTAGGATTCTAAGAGGCGCGTGCGTGTTTACAGCCTGATTTGGGAGGAGCGGTTGTTCGACAGTGGGAGAGAAGTTCACAGTTTGGGTCACACCAGAATCCCTGCGTTACCCCCCATCTAAAGATTCAAACCTGGGCCTTCAAGCCCTGTCGTTCCCCGCCCAATCCCCTGGCCTTGCAATGGGACAATATCTAGCCCTTGATACTGTCTAACTGGAACAATGCTTTCATCCTCTCAGGGGGAGACATTTCTGGATCTCGCTGGCTCTGCCACTCGCTCCTGAGCTGATGAGAGACTGATGGTAGGGTCAAGCAGCAATGTGTCCGTGAGCTGGGGGAATTCAGTGGGAAGCAGTAAGATTCAAGCTGCAGGCCTGGGCAGGTAGCTCAGCAATCAAAGTCTAAACCTGGGCAAACGGCAGAGTGTGCTGCCAGCTGGTGTGAGCGGGAAGGGTGAGCCCGGCAGGAACGCCAGGAGAGGGGAGAGTTACACAGTCTGGGATAAAATAAGAACCAATCTCAATCTTCCCCCACAGCTTGAACTGGATTTTCAAAAGTTTAATTCCATTTCTGTCTTCTCCCCCTCACCTCCCCCAAAAAACCATTTTCCTGGCTCTTCACTTTATAGCTTTGATCTAGCTCAGCCTCAAAATATAGCAGGAGAGCCTGTTTCTCCCCAACTTCCTGGCTGATTTGGACTACCAGAAACACTGATCCTCATGAGACAGCTTCGTCTGTCAGGGACATCCTTAGGATTTATGGAGCCCTACACAGTGCTTCGTACTGATGGCAGCTGGGAGGGGGGTGTTTTTTTAGAGATGTGATTTTATTATCCTCTGCAACACGCTAATGAAATATTTTTTAAAACAAATTTTAAACTAAGGTCCTGTTGACTAACACAGTGAATTCAGAAAGTGACAGTCTATACGTGCGGTGGGCAAATGCCTGTTAAATGGCTGCTTTACCATGGGAATGGCTCTTTTACAAGTTCATGTTGTGCTAATAGCTCCAGTGGCTTTGTTACTTGTAACCTAACTAGTTCCTTTATGAAGGAAGCCAAGTCTCAGACCAGGAATAGGAAGAGAAGCCTGGGTGGACATTAAGACCCAGAGCTGCCCCACATGTTCAGGGGCCCTATGCAGGTGCATATTCTGCATATGGGTAAGAACGACCCTGTCCTCTGTGGATTTCCAAGCCAGGTTTGCCTACCCCAGGCATTCAACTAGTGTGGAGAAGCTGCCGCAAAGCAGTCAAACTCCTCTGCTTTGCTGAATCGATCGTAAGTTCTGAACCTTTGGAAAATCATCCGTCCCACATTCTGATTTGCAAGCTCAGATTGCATTTGGAGGCTGGAAAGAGTCCAGGTTCCCTTCTCCTTGCTACCGTGAATTGTTCAGCCTTCCAGGAGGCCTAGCCTTGTCTGTCGGGAATTTTAGCATCGTTTCCATTTTGCGTGGAGGAACACTGGACCTTCATCTGCCCCTGTTCCCCTTCAGCCTTCTGTGGCTTGAATACATTTGCTTGCTTATAATCTGAGATCTATAAAACAGGGGACAAGCCTGAAGTCTTTATGGAGGCTTAGAATCTAGCCTCTGTCATAGTCTGTACTTGGCAAGAGAACTTAACTTGCTGCATGCTGCACCACTACTGAGCTAACAGCACAGACTTTGCCCAGTGTAGGGTTAATTTCAATAGAAAAGGAAAAATGTCACCTTGCCTTCCTCAACCTTAGAAGTAGCAATCAGCCTACGAAAGCCCCAGAGGAATTTAACGGCCATTGTTGATTAGCTCACAGACCCTGAGCTCTAGTATCCTGGCATCCCCAGAACAACACACTTTCTCCAAGTCCATCTCCTGTCCCTTCCACTCAGGCAGGTCCACTTCTCTCCTTGAGATCCTCTCCACTTGGCCCATGCTGCTCTTCATGCCGGCACACCCCAATCGTCAGCGGCTGGGATGGAACCCGGGACCACTGGAGCTTAGTGGATTCTGGCGCTCCACTAAGGTTGTGGAGCAGACTCTGTCTTCTCTCTGGGAGTGGACTCAGTGCCACTAAATGGGACTGTGTGCCCCACCCAGCCAGTGTGTCTGGGTTACAGGTCCATCATCAATTCAGGAGAAAAATAAAACCAGCAGAGAGAGGTTGTGCTTCATTTACATTTCCAAAGCTGCATCAGCTAATCTCTGCTGCTGCCTTTCACTTGAGCACAAAGCAAGGGCTTACTTTCTCAGTGCCATTTCCACACACGTTTGGGGACCCCCAGTTCAGCTATGTGGTTCTTTCCATCTCTGATTACCTGCATGTGTGGGCAAATCGGGATCATGAGAGGTGCAAGTACTCTGTTTGCACCTGCAATTCATGTTTGCTGGTGTAACACCCCCCCCCCCATGCCTGTTGGAAATATTAACCCCTCGCACTCCATTTTCTTGCTTGACTCTGTCTTGATTCCTTTTATATTATATTAATTAATATTATAACTTAGCACCTGGTGAGCCATGGCCTTTAGGTACCTCCGGGGGTGAGGTGTAACTCACGCAGCCAAGAATGCGTTTTCCAGCTGGTTCCTTCCCATTCCTCTTGAAGTGGGTGTGTTTGAGTTAATGAACCAGGCTGAGTATAACACAAACACAGAGGGCTGTTCCAAGTCTCCACCCTAGATGCCTCTCCAGAACAGATCCTTTAAAAAAGCAACCCACCCATGCAGACGCCGCGCTTGCTGGACCTCACCAGCGTTCCATAAAAGGAGGGTATCAGGGGAACCCTTAACAATTCCAAGAACAGTCACTTTTCTGAACACAGCAAAAGAGTTTCCACTCAGCTTTGCCGAGGAATCGGGCCAACTTCACTTTCAGTTTACTCGGGGGGTTTGTAACCAAGAATGGCATCTGCCGAATGCGTGGAAACTCTGAGCGTGCCCAGGGATGCAGGTGGTGGGGGGAGAAAAGAGGCTCCCCTGAGCTCCTGGAGGAGCAGGAGGTCGGAGAGAGAATGTAAGGAGAAAGGAGAGTGAGCGTTGTTAGCAAAGAGGGGGACAGTGAGGGAGGAGAAAGTCCTGGAGGTGGGAGCAGAAGGTGGGGCTGATTGTGGAGAGTGTCAGGCATCCTGCAACAGGGAATGTTGGGTGGGGGATCCTAGTTGGGGAAGGAGTAATAGAGCGGAGGTGGGGTTAAGTCCTGGCAGATGTCATTCATCTGTTGCCCCAAAATCAACATTCCGAAAGAGGCTTGCCCTGCGGTAGAGGGCCTGATCATCACAGGGGATGGGATAAACTCTGGACCTGCTGGGAATCCCGGCACGTGGGCTGAGAAACTCCCCCAAAGGAGACTGGGAAAGATTAGCTAACAAGACCTCACGGAGGAAAGAGCCTCAGATCCAGTCCAGCAAGCTGGTGTGGCTGGGGCTTTGTGCCATCTGTTCTCCTGAAGAAACCGTCTCCATCACTAGCCCAGCTGGGCCCATCCCTGGGTGGCAGCAACAGGTTGGCTCTCTACCCTTGCTGGCCCTTAGCACTCCTATTGGACAATCACCTGCCCCATAGTGACTGGATGCCCCCTCCACAGGCCTGTTTACCACAGGGTCCCAGTACGTCCTAACAGACACAGTTCATTGCTAATAGATGCTGCTAGTCAGGCGCATTGCCAAGGGCTTAGGGTCTGATCCCTTCAGCTCCTATTGAAATCAATGGGAGCTTGAAGGCACTCAGCCCCTCTCAGGATTGGGCCCTCAAAACTTCCCTCTGGGGACCACCTCACATTTGCAGCACTTGCCCCGGTAGCCCCGTGCAGCGTTCGACCGGCCCTGCCTCTTGATTTCCCTCGCCCGCTGGCCAGAGCTGGCCCAGCGCCCCGGTGGGCGTCTCCCTTTGGCTCTGGTCCCCTGTGCATGGAATACATTAATGCTTGTTTATCAAATCAGCGGGGCTTGCTGTGTAAATGAGGACGCATCGAGACATGTTCTGCTGCCTTGGCGTTTGCCCTGTGGAGGGGGAGTAAATAAGGCGCATGGCAGCGCTGCGCGGAGGAAGGGGACGGGGAGGCCGAGCCGTGCGGCCGCTCCCCGGAGAGATTACACTCTGGAATGTGACAACAACCCCGACCTGCCCAATTTTTCAAAGCCAGGAAGCCAAAGGAAACAGCAGCACCCGTTCGCCTGTCCTAGCCCGGTGCAGCCTCCGGAAAGCTGCTTGCTCGCTGTTGCGTGCCTGTGTCCTTGGCACCTCTCATGTCCTGCTAGCACCTGTCTCCGGCCTCTACTCTGACGCCTGACAACAGAGTGGCTCTGTTCTGCTTTCTCCAAGGATCCCTTTGCTCCTTGTTTCCCTGCCACTTAGGAATGTGTGGTTACCCAGCTCTGGGAGAGCCTGAGTCTTGCAGGCTGGCAATGCCAAGAGCCCCGTAGGAAGGAAGCCGGAGTACTCACCTCTTCTTCTGCACCGTGGGGCTGTATTTCCCTTTGTTTCTTTTCCTGAAGAGAGAGTTCATGGTGATTTCCCTGGTGCTAGCAGCTGCCTGAATGCAAAGGGCTGGCTGCCAGCTGGCGAAAGGAGGCTGCTGCTAGATCCTGCAGGTACAGTGCTCGTCTGGGGAAGGAAGGGACAGGGAAACCGGCAGCCGCCTCCAGCCCTGCTCTCTGTGCCTGCTCCAGGGGTGTGAGTTCTCCCACTGAGCGGGGTAGGGCTCTCCCAGAGAAGGTGGTGCTTACCTACGGCACATGTCACTGACACAGGCGGAGCTACACGCACCTCCCCAGCCTGCTTTCGCTGGGAGCAGCACAGAGGTTACTCCAAGGGACCACGAGCAGTATCAGGCTCTGCGTGTGTGCGCTGTGCGAGGGACAGCTGGGGCTTACTTCAGCCCCTCACAGGAGGGAAGCATTCCAGCCTGTTACCAGAGGCAGGGAGCGACTGTCCAGCCGAATGTGCACATTACAGTCGTGTATCTGATTATTTTTCCGTTCCTGGGGCACCCTGCAAAACTGGGAAAATAAGCTCTGTTTGCCGGGAGCTGGGAAGGGCTGACAGGGGTGGGATCACGTGATGATTCCCTATCGCTGTTCATTCCCTCTGGGACACATGGCACTGGCCACCATCGGAAGACAGGATGCGCCTGACCCAGTGTGGCCGTTCTCATTTCTTAACAAGTTACCGGTTGACTGCAATCTTTCACTCAACCCAAAACGAAACACTTCACTCCGATGCGGAGTTTTTTAAAGCCTTAAAAGAAAAGGAAATGTCAAAATGTGCCCATGAAAGCTTATGATACGATCTATATATTTTTGTTAGTCTCAAAGGGCAGGTCTACACAGCAGTTAGAGCACTCTTCCTCTGACTTTCCTTACACCGTGTAAAATGAGGGTTACAGGAGTCGGAGTAAGACATTATTTCCACGTGATGTCGAAATAACTGCCTGTTGTATAGACGCAGATTATGTTATTTCGGAATCACCTCAGTGATTCCGAAATAACGCTGCTGTGTAGACATGCCCTAAGGTACTACAGGATCATTGTTGTTTTTAAGCTCTAACAGGGCAACCGAAAAATGGGGAAACTGATCACCGGGTCGTGCTTCCACACAATGTGGCATGTATATAATTGAGCAATTAGGAGCAACTCTTTTGTTTGGGCTTTGTGGCCATGTGAGACTAAACACATGGCTACAGAATTGTGTAGCCCTCACCAGGGCCGAATCCAGCGCTAGTTATGTCCTGAGGGCAGGTCAGTGCAGGATTCGGCCGACTGATCCTGTACGCTGTAACACCTCTGAAATCAGGGCTGTTCATCCGGCATGCACCAGTGAGCAGGAGCTCAGAATTAGGTCTGTTCCTTGGGCGCTGTGTAGGATGCAAGTGTTCAAACCGGTCAGGGCGGTTTGCTTGAAGGCAGAGCAGGTGAGTGGTTAGAGCAAGGCACAGGGCTTGCTTTGGGTGCTATCGCTCCTTTGAGGCAGAGTGTAACAGGGCAAATCGGCAATGGAGACATTTTTCCAAAGAGGCGAGGGGTCTTCAGCTGCCTCTGTGCTTGGGCGTGAGACACGGGCAGAGGCAGCTTCGGAGAGGCACAGCAGGCATGGCACACTGAGTCCAGCTGGAGTTGCGGGCGCTTAGTTCCTCTGAAGATCAGGCCAATGTGGGGGCAAGTTGGACACCCACCAGGAGCAGAGTGGCTGAGAATCTGTCCTTACCCGGTCTGTTCCTCATGGCCTGGTTGTGGATGGGGGCAACTGCGAGGGATCATAAAGTATAATGACACCCCCAAAACCTCACGGCAGTGAGCTCAGAGCTCGGTTCTACAGACTCGGGCTTGTGGGGCTTACAAGACAGCACCAGAACCAGCCGTGTAGGCATTCAAGGGTGGGTTCCAGTTTGAGCTGGAACATCTACATGGCTATTTTTAGCACCATAGCTTGAGACTTGCCACAGTGGCTTTGTTTTTCTGGGGGTTTTGCCATGTAGACGTGTACGTAAAGGGCCCAATTCTCGTTCATTGTAGAAGCTCACGGTCCCGGCCCCAGCCCTAGTGTCAAATTCCTCATCAAACTTTCCAGGGGAGTCTTCTAAGAGCAGAAAGAGTCCGCTCCTTTTCCCCAGCCTTGCCAATCATCTACAGCAGAGAGCTGCGGAAGGCAGCCCAGGCATTCTCCCCGCCTCTGTCTGTTGCTGGAGTATGTCAGCGCAGGGAGAAAGGGGATAATGAATGACTTTGCCAGGCAAAAGGAGGCTGGGTTGTTTAGCTATCAGCTCATTTCTCTGCAGGGAAACATGAGCTCCAAAGGGCTGCCTGTTGATTTGAATTTAATTCTCATCCTGTTAAGAGAGCCCTGGGGTTCTTCCTGGATGTGCTGACAGGTGACTCTATGCTGTAGCAATGGTCTCTTTTAACACTTCTGTTAATTAATGATTTAAACCCAGCTTGGCTGTGAGCCTGAAACCCACAGCTGATCCCTAATCCAGTGGCTGATGGAACGTGCGTAACCTTGGCACGCAGTCCCTGCGGTGCCCAGTGCTGGAAAAATGCAGCCTAAGGCTGTCCCATGGCTGCCCTTTCCATGTGCAAGGTGTGGAGCTGTGCACTGAGGGGAGTCTCTGAGCCGTCTATTACACCATTGCGCTTCCTGGTCTTTCATGTATCCCTCCTCCCAGCACTATTAGCTGCATAGTCCAGCTTTGCAGCTAAGGCACATGGAGACTAGGTGACTTGCCCAAGGACACAGCAAGTCTGTGGCGGAGCAAGGACTCAACCCCTTCCTCCCAAGTCCTTGGCTAGTGCCCTATCACTGGCCCGCCTGTGTCTCTGCACACATGCAAGAGAGCATCAACTAACTCCATTGCACCATTTCCCCTTCTTCTCCGGACCCCAGAGCGGCCTCCAGGGGCCCAGGATCTGCAGGAGGCATGACCAGGAAAAGGGCAGGTGAAGGAGATGTGTCCAAACCCTGAAGTCTGCTGTGAAAATCTCAGCTGAATCACTGAGCAAAAATTGGCCCAAGCCTCCAAGTCTTTGGCTGCTTTCAGTGGAAGTTAGGGACCGACGAACCTGGGAGGAGCTGGGCCTAAGTCCCTTGTCCGTGGCCTGCCAGGCAGTCCATGGGAGAGGGGGAAGGCAGGTCCCTTGCCAATGCGTTAGTAATGCTGTGTTTCTCATTAGAGCAGAGTAAATGCTGCGCCTTGGGGCCTAGGACAATTTACACCAGCCAAGGATCTGCCTTCCCATCTTTCCCCCGTAAGACACAGCATTGACCCCTACTGCTCAGTCGGGGAGCCCACAGTCTCCACGGCCCCCACACAGGGGCCAGCTCTGTGCTCCCAGAAGGGGCGGGGCCTTGGGCAGAAGGGGAGAGGCTGGAGCAACCAGCCCTCAGTGCCACCTGGACCATAGGCGTCCCCTCCCCCCTGCAGACCTCTGAGCCGCCCGGAGCGTGTGGTGCAGCACTCCGGCACAGAGCCGTCCCCTCCCTCCTGCAGACCTCTGAGCCGCCCGGAGCGTGTGGTGCAGCACTCCGGCAGTGATTTAAAGGGTCTAGGGCTGTGGCAATAAGAACAGTGCTAGGCCCCTTGGAATCACTGGGCCCTTGGGCAATTGTCCCCTTTGTCCCCCTCTCAGCGGGCCTGTGCTCAGTAAATAAACAGCAGCAGCTGCAATACCGAGCAGCGAAATGAGCGTGCCACACGCTGGTTTACTGCCCCCAGAGCTGCTGCTCGGGGTTCCTGATCCAGGTCCTTCCCAGCACCCCAGCCTGTGCTGTCCCTCTCCCATCCCCCCCGGGCTGTCAGTGACACAGTGCAGCTTGCAGCTGTGGCTAGCTGGGGAGAGAGCATTTCATTAGCCAGCATTTTGCAGTGAAAGGGGGGATTTGAGGTGCTAGCGGGAGGTGACGTTGCTCGCCTACCTGAGGGGAGCAGGACAAATAGCAGGAGGTGCTGCCACTCTAGGGATGGGGGTGGAAAGGAAAGAAATGATTCCGGGGAGGGGAGGGGACAGGAGGAAACTAGACCCAAGCCACAAGGGATGCCGAGAAAGGAGCTGGCTCTGCAGTGGTGTCAATGAGATCAGAATCTGCTCCGAACGTTCAGTCCTGGACGCTCAGGAAAACCTCATAGCCCCTTTGCAAACCCATCCCTCCGGCACCGGCTCCACAATCCCCTGGGTGCTGAGGTTCCGCTTTCCAGCCTGGCCATTCGCTCCCCTCCTTGGAGCTGGGCAACCCGGAGGTGTCGGTTTCTCAGTCCGGATCGTCCACGTGAATCCCTCTGGGCACCGAGGGGCATCCCTGCGCTGGCGTGAGTCAGTGAAGCTCTGCAGCCGTCATTGCAGGAGCTGTAGGATTTACCTCAGCGAAGACGAGGCCCTGCTGTGCTAGGGGCTGTACGAACATACACGGCAATGCCTGCCCCACGCTGGCCATCTGTGTTCACTTCGCTTATTTCCATTGCTGGCTCTCACCACTGACAAATGAAGCACGCGGGTCTTAGGAACTGAGCTCTTACAGCCTCATTTCAGCAGGGACAACGCTGGCTCCGTGCTGGCTGTGGCTGCAGATTTACCTTCAAGGCCACCAGCATGGATTTTTATTCTAAATGGGGGGTGTTATACCCAGTCCTCTGAGGGATCCTGCTTCAACCCATCATCCCCGCCCTCTTAAATCTCTATCTATGGCCTCCGCTTGCTGCCTTTCCGACCCCCGCACAGAGGGCACAGTTTGTCCCTCCACCTGCTGCTCGTGAGCTCTCTGCCACCAGCGTGGTGCGAGGTTTCCAAGGCCGTTGGGACTTCTCCAGCTGCGGTCAAAGGGCAGTGAGATCAAGAGGAGGCAGAGACACTGAAGTGGTCCAAGGGACCGTGTTCTAGCCATTCCACAAGGGGGTAAGGGAAAATGGACGAGGGCTGCAATGGGATGTTAGCATGGGGATGACGGGCACAGCCGGGGCACCTGCCACTGGATAAACATGTCAAGGGATAGATTCCGATCCTGCTGTAAAACCCTTTTTACGCCTGGTGAAATGCCCTCAGCACAGGGGGCCTCTTGAGCCAGCACAGCGATGTCCTCACAGCTCTACACCATGCAGTCCCTAGCATAGGGACATGGCGGGGGGAGGGAGCTGACCGGTGCACTCTGGGTAGTCTGGGCCAGAGGGCCAATACCCTGAATTGGCCCAGGAGGACTTAATGCCCTGTGGAGG